GTGTTTTTTTTTTTTTTTTTGTTTTCTGATCTGTTGCAAGGGTCACCATGGGGTGGGGCTTGAGGAACATCAGTATGACGAGTCATAACTCGCATGACTCAAGCCATCAAGCTGGTGCAAGTTTCGGGTTCTACAGGGATATATAGGGATATATAGGGTTATATAGGGTTATAAAGAATTGCTTTGAACGAATGAGTTCCCATCCTTCACTGATTATACTTTTCTCAATTCTGTTCAAAAGCTCTCTTTTTTTCTGGTGCAGGTGGATGGAAGTCCTCCTCCATAGAGTGGATCTCCTGCAGTGCGGGGCCGGAAGCTTAGAAAGCATTTGTTAGCGCTGTGAGTGTCGTGGCAACCTCTTGAAAGCCATGATTAACAATGACGGCCTCGTTTTGCAGCGTCTCATGGGAGCAGCAAAATTAAATCTGTGCGCACATTTGTAAACAGTCAGCGGTGTCCCAGGCCCCCCCAAAATCCAATAATACTAACAATCATAATAACAAAGATAATAGTCATAAGAGTAGAAATGATAACAGCAACAGTAATAACAAGACCCCAACCCAGGGTAGCCTCAGGCTCTTCAACCTGGAACTCTGGATGTATTGCCTGTGCCTTGCCCAGCAAGATCCAGTCGGCGAGCTTGCACGCAATGAAGGAGTATGTTGGGGTTATATATAGGGATAATGGAAAAGAAACTGGAAACCGATTATACTCTAATAGGGTATATACTGGGGTCATACACAACTATGCATGCAGGGCAAATATAGCAATGAGACAGTTGAAGTGTAGTGTCCTGTGTTTTCTGCTTTGCTGGTTTTTCTGGCAAGTAGATGCAAGTCGGACCTGCGATCTGTGAGACCCTAGAATGACCCTCACGATAGGTTGGCAAGAAGAAGCAGCAAAAAGTTGCGGTCGGCAGGGACCCAATGCTCTACATGAGGGCCTTCTACCTCAGCCCAACTGTGGAGTCCGGCTCATTGCTGCTTAGGCGATGATACAGGCGTGCTACAGGTCTTCTATATCAAAAAGGGTGAGGCCGGGAAGTCAGCATTTTGATCTAGTTGCCCTCCATCCAAACCAGTACAGGTTCAATACGAATGGAAGTCCGCACAGCCCTGAATTTGTAGATCAGACATCATGTCCTTTGCGGCGTGGCTGGATGAGTGCCTAGATGAGTAGTATCTTATTTGGGGATACTATAGTACCCAATATAGAGTAAGCTATTATCCCCTTTTTGGGGTATAGTATTTTATATACGGAATATTATCTTACTAGGTTCAACCACCAAAAAACGCTACTCCGATCCCCCAAGTCATCAATTTGCTCTGAGGCCCCTCTTGGACGCGAGATCAGCTCTGTCGTCATACAGCTCGCAAAGGAGCTACGCTTGCTGGGTTTAGCAAGGACTTAATGTTATTGTATTACCTTAATTTTACCCTGATATAACCCTGATATGACCCTAACCTAAAACCGTAAAACAACGCTAATATAACCCTAAAATAACCCTAAAATACACCTAATATAACCCCAATATAACCCCAATATTACCCCACTATTACCCCAATATAACCCTAATATAACACCGATATAACCCAAGTATTTGCAGGACAAAATCTTTGTTGGATGCGGGCAGTCGATACATGGATTCACGCGGAAAGGGAAGGAGTTTGTCTGGCTCTCAGACTTCGAGCTGCAATAGGCCACAATAGGGTTTAGGGGATTTAGGGTTTAGGGTCTTGGGATAATGGAAACGAAAATGGAAACTACTCTCCAATGTCCCTGCATACACAGCAGATAACCTCACGGATCGGTCAGCAGATATGAGAGACTCGATAGATATAGCTGAATTGGCGAGAAGTGCTGCTAAATTTACTGTTATGGCCACCACCGCCGCCGCCGCCGCCACCACCACCACCACCACCAACAGCAGTCCATGCTACCAGCGAGAGCAACCACTCTGGCCCAGACGGGTATTTCTTTGGAATTTGTAGGCACACATCAGAGAATCCATGCTGGCCCGATCGTAATGTCCACTTGCAAATTCATCCGATTTTCTGAGCATGGCTGCGTAGCCGGCCGCCGTGCAGCCTCCGACATGCTTTTTGCATTTTAGCTTCAGTTTTCTGTCGTGGCTTTGTAAATGTGCGTCGGGAACCGCGCGGGCGGAAGTTAGAGATGAGGCTTCTCAACTTGGGAGCAGTCACCGGTATGTAGCCAGGCTTAGACAAAATTCCGTAGTCTGGCGTCAAACAGTAGACCGAAATATTTCTGTCCACGCACGGCCTGACGTATGACTGCATGACTGACCAGAGCACGCTGCAAACAGCACCAGTGGCTACGACGACGGCCATCATGGCCATCCCCTCGTCATCCGCAGTCGCATCCGCATCCTCTTCATCCCAGCACGCCCTAATCCTCAACCAGAGCGGAGGCGAAATCTTTGAATACCACACCACAAGGTCACAAGGTCTGTATGGAAGAGGGCCCAGTTGGAGTGTCGCATGAGCATGCTGTGTTCTGTCTAAAGGGCTGGCATAATGTTGACTTCACAGTAGTGACTATACCTACACTGCTAAGATCTCGCCGCCGGAACGCAATTATACCTATAGAAGTTACAGGAAATAATAGTTTTTAGGGACATGGATGTTCATGAGATTTTTCATGATTGACTAAATCGATTTTCAAATCTGGGTTCTTGGCATGATTAGTCCAGGGCCTCCTCAACATGGAGACACATCAATCGAGTGGGAGGTTATGAATGTGAATCCAGCCTTGGGAAGCAAAATCCTGTCACAGATTTTGAAATCGATACGGGCAGCCAAAATCATTGTCCCCCAACCCCCCAGATGAAGCCTCACAGGTTTATAGTCCCCCTTGAGTAGATAGAATGTGGGGTAGAATATTGGGGTTATATAGGGATAATGGAAAAGAAAATGGAAACTACTACATTATAACAGTGTATATGTTGGGGTTATAGTCTCCCTTAAGTAGATATAATATGGCTTTGGGTATATTGTAATAAGATATACCCCATATTCTATCTACTCAAGGGGGACTGTAGAGTTTATAGGGTTTAGGTAACGTGATGGAACTCCTTGCGGGGTTCAGCGGGAATCCTGTATCTTCGGAGGTCAAGATCAAGACGAACCTCACAGAGACGATCAACCATCTCTTTGTGGAGGAGAACATGATTTGGACCGGCGGCCAGGGCTCACAGAATCAAAGTGCAAGGGTAGTCTCCATGAAAATACTATATTTCTTTTTGCTAGGGAACCCCCAAAAAGGCGGCCCTAATTTTGGGAAACCTGAAACCCTGAATAACACCAGTTTCCATGTCGTTTTCTATTTCATTCTCCATTATTGGGGTAATACCCCCCTAAACCCTACATAATGTCCAAACCCTGAACTATGCTTTTGGAAATGAGAAACTGTTTAAACCCTAAACCCTAGAACCTAAACCCTGAGAATGCCTGACAGGTCCACGTGGAACCCTTTGCACTGTGCGCAGATAGAAAAAAAACTAAACCCCAAACCCTAGACTCCCCGAATCTTGGAGGGGCGCAGCACTCCTCTGCTCTGGGCTGAGGCGAATACGTCATGAACATCTATGACAGCTGCAAGGATTATGGCAGCACTGGCAGTTTAAATGTGCAGGGTTTACCGTGTAGGGTGCACTGGCACACTGAAGATATCTCAATTGCCTAGCGTGTGGTGGTCGCCAGGCTTCGTGATGACCAAGGATCGAATCAATGCGGGGTCCTCAGGGATTCAGAGGTGCTGTTCGCTTATCTTGACGCCGGACAAATTTTTGTCTGTCTCTGAACTCATGCCGACTCCTTCGGTCCGACCCATTATGCAGGCAATTTCACATGTTGTATTGCTTCGGCATGCAAGATAAATCACAAGCAACTTGCTGGCTTCATCCCTTACGGCCTTACAGCCTGCTCAGGATTTGACCTGCGCTCCTGTGCATAACGGAGAAATCCTCAGCACGATCATCGCTTGCCAGGACGCAATGTAGCTTGTGACGCGTCTCTGTGCTGCCAACACGCGCAGGACAAGTGCCTGCGAGTCTATCAGGGGGAGAAGCTCTCGCATGAATTTGCCGCGGATGCCTTACTCTGTCTCTGGCCCTTTTCGGGGCGGCCAGCTTCCGCATGCATTCTTATGCTGCAATTGTCAGGTTGAGGGCTCTGCCACTGCCCTGGGCTTCCAGGGTGTCAACCCTGTGGACAACACAGCGCCACTCACTTGAGATCCAAGATCGCAATGTGTCCTCACTATTCGTTGCCATATGACCCAGGCATCACGTTGGCGACCCTGTGCAGATGATCTACGGGACAGAACAAGGCGAGGCTTGGAGCTGCAGAGGTGTTTCTGAGGGTAGGCTTGCATTCCAGCTCCCAGACCTGGGAAGTTGATGTCGGATGTTTTGCAGCATATGAAGGTATATGAAGATAGATGAAGGGTAGGATGTTGGAGCATTTTAGCAAGTGCACACGCTCTCCAACATGACTCACGGCCATAGCTTATACAACGTTCAGCCCCCACTCCCCAGCCCAATCAGGTCTTGACACCATGGTATAGTGGGTTAGATACAGAGGTTATATAGGAAAGAAAATGGAAACTACTGTAATGGGTTATATAGGGATTAGAGGGACTATGTTGGGGTTATAGGGATAGTGGAAAAGAAAATGGAAACTACTATAGCAGGGTATATATTAGAAGGCATTCTTCAACAATGCCATGCAGCTCGTGCAAGATTGTTGAAAGCATGTAGCTTGTACACTTGGCTTAGAACACAATGCAACGGCACCTGTCTAAGTCGAATCTTCTTGTGCCCTGCTAAATCCTATATCTGCCTTTTCAGGTTTTTACCGTCCTTTCCCAGAACTTGTTTATTTATGTCTCCCTCCCAGAGTGAATGGCACCATAGAAACTCGCACACTTGTGATTTGGCATCTAAATTCCAAATCTCAACGTGTCTATTCGAAAGCTGAGCTTGTGTAGCACATCCTCATATACCCGTGGAACTTGCGAGTCCCCTAGGGCTACATGCCTGTGAGACAAATTTACACGAGACGAGATGGTAAAGGTAATCTCACACATCGTGGGATACATCTGGTCTACGTCCACGCATGTGCATAGCATTGTTGAAGAATGCCATCGAATATATACCCTATTATAGTCGTTTCCATTTTCTTTTCCACTATCCCTATAACCCCAACATAGTCCCTCTAGTCCCTATATAACCCATTACAGTAGTTTCCATTTTCTTTTCCACTATCCCTATATAACCCCAATCATATAATTCCGTAAGTCCATTGAGTGACTTCCAAGCCTCGGCCAGGTGTTGTTGGGCTTTGCTCTCTGGATGCAAAGTCCATGAGACGAACCGGTGGCATATCTGATCGACAAGCCAGGCCGGAAGATGTGAGCTACGGACTAAATTCAGGTTGGGAGGGACTTGTAGGGGACTATATAGGGTTTTGGGGGGAACCTATGAAGGGATATGCTACAACTTTAGTCCAGGGCTCATGTCCAAAAATGTTTTTGTGTGGGCTTTTGACAGCTCGTCGAATTATCCTTAAACTCTAAACCCTAAACCCTAAACCCTAAAACCTAAACCCCAAACCCGAAAACCTAAACCCTAAACCCTCCCTGCCAGGCCAGGCGTTTCAGCGCCAGGTGCCGGGAATGTAGCAGATAGCAAGCGGCAGTTTCTCCCAAAATAGGGGGATCCTTATATGAGCTACAGTCTAAACTCCTTAAAGGGTGGTTATATAGGGGATTATATAGGGGACTACTATAGGGTCTATTAAGGGGTATACTAGGAGTTTAGACAATGGTTCATATGGGGGTTATATAGGGATAATGGAAAAGAAAATGGAAACTATTAAAATGGGCCATACAGGGATTCTATAGGGGTTATATAGGGGTTACATGGGGATAATGGAAACGAAAATGGAAACCACTAGAGGGTTTAGGGTACACCAATATAGGCCCTAATATCTACTAGTCCTTATTATGGGGACCCCCCAAAAAGGTACCCCTAATTCTGGGAAACCCCTAAGTGGTTGCAAGACTGCAGTCTGAGTTTCAAGCTCGTATCTACAAGATGGACCCGCATTGCAGGCTAGTTGTTGCCCTCTCAGCCATGTGTGCAAGCATCCTCCAAGCCACAAATCAGCACTTTGTTGAAGGTTGCGATTGAAATCCTTTGATTTCTGTTGGTACGAAAAGGCAGCGTTTTGAGCCTGGCAGAAGGCGCCATAAAGGGATCCCTCAGCGTGTCTAGAAGGAGCTATCTAGCAGCCGCTGCGTGCGTTGCACTGCCTTCAGCTATCCCACCTAATCTCAGGCTGCTAATGGTTTTGTAAGCCCGACAGCCGGTGCTCTAATACGGAGCACACCCCGCGGATGCGTATGCCTGTGAGCGCAAATGGCTGCTGAAACAGTGGACAGCCAGCTGCGCAACACGGTCCGCGCCGCCCGTTCTCGCTCTCTGCGCTGCGTGAAGGCGATCATCGTCAAGAAAGGCGCCTTGCATTCCAAATGGTAGTTTCCCAAAATGAGGGGACCCCAATATAGACTCCAAAATACTAGAATCCTTATTATGGGGACCCCCAAAGAGGTACCCCTAATTTTGGGACTCCCCAAATATGGTCAGTAGCTCTTGAGGCTGCCATCTGCTGTGCTTGCCTATGCTGCAGAGATATGCATAGCTGACTCAGGCAAAGAAGCTTGGTTCAGGATGTAAGGGTTTCCCAAAATTAGGGGTACCATTTTGGGGGTCCCCATAATAAGGACTAGAGTATATTTGGGGCCTATAGTGGGGTCCCCGTATTTTGAGAAATTACCACGTGCATGCTAAGTCAACTGGCTGATGCGAACCCGGTCTACTGGCTCTCAGGAAGCATGTGTCCTGATTCAGACCCTCCGAGCTGTTTTGGTGAAAATCGTTCACTAAACCTTGAACCCTAAACCAACTAAAGAGTTGCAACTTGCTGAAGGCTCAGCGCTGAGCGTTGACACGGTCCCGGCTGCCTACACACTGGTGCCACGCCTAAATCACGGCAAACCATACTATCAATACTGATATGAATAAGATTGGTAGTAATTGTCATGGTAACAATTATGATAGTAACACTAGCAACAGTCATACCATTATCCCTTTTTTTCACCCCTATATATAGTAGTTTCCATTTTGTTTTCCATTATCAGCGCTAAATCCTAAACCCTGTATAATCCCATTACAGTAATAGCCATAGGAAAAATCATAACAGCAATAATAACAATAGTACTAATAATAGCAGTAACAACAGTGATAGTAATACTAAGAACAGCAATAACCATAGAAATAATCATAACAAAAAAAGGCAAAACCCTAAACCTTATACAATGAAACCCTAGCCCCTAGACCCTAGACCCTAAACCCTAAACCCTAAAACCCTAAACCCCTAAATTTGTCCAAAGCCGGGCTGGCTGCCTGACGCAGCTCTGGCTCAATGACTTCTACACGCTTTCGTTTGGGTCAGTATGACAACCCCCCAGGGTTTTAGGGTTTAGGGTTTTAGGGTTCATGGATTTGGGGTTTGAGGGTTTAGAGTTTAGGGTTTTATGGTTTAGGGGTTTAGGGGTTTAGGGTTCTAGGGTTTTAGGGTTTAGTGTTAGGGGCCCCACCCAGCTAACAGCAAAGATTCCTGCCGAACCCATACTGGCACCATATTTCGGCAGGGGGTTATTTATTAGTGGGACTAATCTAAGGAAGTTTCAGGTGGGTAGTTGCCCCCATATAATCCATACAAACACCTGATATAGTTTTATTAGGGTTGAGGGTTTAGGGTTTAGGGTTTCTGGTGGATGGAGGAAATCCTGCACCACCTACATCACAGGCATCCTCAATGGTGTGACCATGCATCCCCACACCACCTTTTCAACATTGACACCTATTGTGCACGAGGCGGAGCCAGATTTCCGTCATTGGAACCAATTTGTTTATGGAGGCTTTCAATGTCAATGTTAAGAACTAGATATGGGGCTAGAAGAAGTCTGTGTTGTAACAGCGGTGCGAGATTTCCTCCACCCACAGTAGTGACGCCAAATGCGCCTTTCATGGCCCTTCTATAGTCCTAGTGCCCCCATGTAAGCCTTATGTAAGGGTACCCGCCTGGTAACTACCCACCTGAAAACTCCTTTAATCTGAGGCCTTAAACCCTGAAACCTGAACCCTAACCCTACACCCTAAACCCTGGGGAACAGCTTGCTCTTGGAGCCGTGGAAGCTGAAGAAGGGCTTGCAACAGCTACTCCATCTCTCCAGAGGATCCATGAAGCTGAAATATGGTTTAGGGTTTAGGGTTCAAGGATTGTATAGGGTTTACGGGGGATACTACTCCCACTAATGGAGAATCGAGTGGAAAAGAACATGGATTCTAAAATGGAAGCTGGAATTTTTCAGTCCTAAGCCTTAAACCCTAAACCCTAAATCCTTAGGGGGACAATGCGAGGGCAATCCATCCAAGGCCCTGGCAAATTCGCTTCCTGAAGAGGCAGGAGTTGGCCTCGACAAGGACCAGGGCTGCGGTTTGTCCAAATGGTAGTTTCCCAAAATGAAAATGGAAACTACTATAATGGGCCATATAGGGATTCTATAGGGGTTATATAGGGACATAGGGATAATGGAAAAGAAAATGGCAACCACTATAGGGTTTAGGGTGTAGGGTACCCCAATATAGACCGCAATATATTACAATCCTTACTGTGGGGAGCCACAAATAGGTATCCCTAATTTTGGGAAATCCCAAATGTTCAAGAACATCGGCCGTCAAGGACTAGCCAGGCACTGTGTAAGCTGCTCTGTTTTGGACCCTGGTGAAGGAGTTCCAGCGATGTGCCACTTGCCTGCATGTTCTGTTTTTGCATTTGCTAATTCCTGCGCCCTTGCATGCAAATCTGACGCTGTGGAGTCGTGCAGTCGATTTTGGGGTATATTGACTCAAGGCGGAAGACTAGCTTGCACATGATTTCACCAGAACCTGAGAAACGCCGTTTACCCTCACCACAAGCGGGAAGCTCTGCCAAGCGAAGGTCAAGAGTCTTCTCGAGCCAGAAAAGCCCTGCCTGCTTCTATTCCGGGCGGACCTATGTGAAAACATCGACAGCACTTTGCCTGCAATTGCTTCGGCAGTCGCAAGTTGCAATTAGTCAACCCAGCATGAGAGGTCCTCTTCTCCTTCTTTCCGCCCCCTAACCTGCCTCTGCCCCTGCTCCTCCCTCCTGCCATCTCTTCGTTGTCCTTTCCCCGCATTCCAAAGGCTCCCGTTGGCTCCTGCTTGCCTGGCTGCCGGAGGCGGCAGCAGAAGTGGATCGAGCCAGGCACCGTGGCACATGGCGTCAGCATTTGATTTCCTCTTCTTGCCTGTCCTGCCACCATTCCAAAATCATAATAGTAATATTATAAAAACAACAATACAATACTAATCAGAAGAAGATTCTGATAACAATAATTTTAAACAACAAATATATTAGTAATATTAATGTTAAAGCTCACCCTCCGAGGTACGTACGGAGCCGCGGCTTGATGGCTGATTTGGTGCAGCAACCGCAACTCCGTAAGCAGAATTCGCCAGGCTTCCTCAGCCTCTTGCTGACCTTTTGTTCCATATGCTAATTTCCCAAAATGAGGGGACCCCAATATAGACCCTAATATGCTATAGTCCTTATCATGGGGATCCCCAAAAAGGTACCGCCAATTTCGGAAACACGCATATCTTGTCGGGACGTCAGGTCCTGCTTTCGTTTGACAGTTAGCTCCACTGTGACGGCTTGCATAACCACAACCAGCATGCCATCTGAGCTATAGTCTAAACTCCTTAAAGGGGGGTTATATAGGGGGTTATACAGGGGACTATTATAGGGGGTATTAAGGGGGATACTAGGAGTTTAGACTGTAGCTCATCTTGCCCTCTGGAGTCTTATTGGGGATTGTCCTAAATTACTGTCAATACGGGGTCCTATATTTGGCTTCCTATTGTAATACGGGGCCCTATATTAATTTCCCTCATTTCGGGAACGGTAATTTAGGGAAACTTCCTATTGCAGAGCATGCAAACAAGCAAGGGTGGAGTTTCGAAACTCGTTTCCCTTTACGTTGCGCTTGAGTTCCTTGCCAATCGTTGATTCAGACCAACCCGAGCCATGTTTCAGTTCACTTTTTTGTTTTCAGAAAAAAAAAAACTAATCTTCAGACGGACCTGGTAACAAGTTGCTGTTCCCAAGCTGGCTTGTTGCTCGTATGCTAATAAAAAAACAGCCCTACCTCCTTGTATAACCTATTAAAATGTAGTAGTTTCCATTTTCTTTTCCATTATCCCCGTATAGCCCCAAACCCTTAACTCTAAGCCCAGAATCCCCAGTTACTTGAGGTACTTCCTGAATGAGCTCTTCGCCAAAGATGTGCAGAGCTTATCCTGGTGCCCTCCCCATTTTTTTGCCAAAAATTAGGGGTACCCTTTCGGGGTCCCAGTAATAAGGGTTATAGCCTTTTGGGGTCAATATTGGGGATCTTATTTTGGGAAACTACCATGTTCCCCTACATAATCCCCAAATACTAATAGTTTTCATGTTCCTTTCCATTATCCCTATATAACCCTATACTACCTTATATAAGCCCTGCATAACCTCTCGCGCTCAATTTGTTCGGGGCTGAAATGGACTGAGCCTCTCTGTTAGATGCCCAGGTTTGCAGGAATTTCAAGTCTCACGACCTCATGATGGTTGTTCATCACTGCAATCAGAATAATAGTAGCAATAATAAGAGTAGTAATAACAGTAATACTTGTAGTAGTAGTACTAGTACTAATGATTATAACGGATACAATGGTAGGAATAGAATCATTATTTCTTGTTTGGAGACCCCTCAACAAACCTCGTCATGACAAGTTAGTCGTCTGCCGTTTGTTTGTGTGCATGCAAACAAAATGGGAACCACTATAATATCGGGGTCATATAGGGGTTATATAGGGATAATGGAAAAGAACATGGAAGCTACTATAATGCTTGAAGGGTTAGGGGGACTTAGTAAGTAGGTTGGTAACCCCTATAACCCATATAATAACCCTAGATACCCCCGTTAGTAACCTACTTACTAAGTCCCCTGACCCTCCAAGGGGGTTATTTGTTCCAGCAACTTCTTCACGCTCAGGCTCTATTCATTTCTGATAGCCATATTTTCTGACAGCTCGAGATGCATGAAGAGCGCACAAAGTGATTGTTTCAGGTTCCATGACATAATGTACCAAAATGTGTTATGATATACCATAATATACCATAATATACCATAATGTACCATAATACACCATAATATATTATACCATAATCTACTATAATATGGAATGGTGCAATGAGCTCTCCATTGGCATGCTGTAGATGCCATACCCAGCCGATTCTCCAGTCCAGGGTTGTGGATTGCGTGCACTGACATTTTACTGCGAGCTTCTAAACCCTAAAACCTATACAGTAGTTTCCATTTTCTTTTCCATTATCCTTATATAACCCCTTGCCTGCCATGCTCAGAGCACGCTCGAGCTGCGTTCAATTCAAGTTCTATAACCCCATATAACCCTAAACCCTAAACCCTAAACCGAGTAGCCAGTTTTCTTTTGTCCAACTTGAGTTTGGTTTGTGTCTCGCCCGCTTGAAGGCGCATCTTGTTGTCAAGGGCTTACGGCGTGAAAAGCATGAGAGAACTGGTAAAGCATATGAGCTATAGTCTAACGAGGGAATTCTACAGGGGAGTATTATAGGAGTTATTAAGGGGATACTAGGAATTTAGGCTACAGCTCCTATTAGGCTCCAGGTGCTGCGATTTGTTGCAGCCGGAAGTGTGGTGCATTGTGGTACCCAGACCCCCTAAAGGATCCAAAACATGGAACCCCATAATGATCCCCTAGGCTTCCCTAATGTAGGAATGACACCATTTTTGGGGGTTTCATTTCTTGGAAACTAAACCCTAAATCCTAAATCCTAAACTCTAAATCCTACACCCTAAACACCCCCTTTTTTTGGATCCTTTAGGGGGTCGTTGTACAGGCCTGCTGCCACAAGAGCCATGACCCAAGCAAGGCGCGGCCGCTTGACCGGTCACACGGGACTCTGGCATATCTTAATATATTATAGTATACCATAGTATACTATAGTATATTATGGTATAAAATAGTAGATTAAAACATGTTATAGTATGTGATAGTATATCAAAGGAAAAAATGTTGAGCTCTGCAGTTATCTAGCGTTGAGCGGAGCAGTCGCCCTGCAAGAAAGACCTGGAGAAATGTGAAGCAAGCCCTGAAGGACTTTCCATTTTATTTTGCTTTATCCCAATAGAACCCAAATATAATCCAAACATAACCTAAATGTAGCCCTAATATTGCCCCTCCCCCCCCCCATATTTGGAAGGCTGAAGGATCCTGAAGGATTGGCCTTGTCGCACGTTGCGCCCATCTCAGAGGACCCGCAGATGATAGCCGATGCAAGCAGCGGGCTGGGAGTGTATAGTCCCCCTTAAATAGATAAGGTTTAGGATTTAGGGTATAGTCCCCGTTAAGTAGATAAACTACGGGGTATACTAGTGGGGTTGTATAGGGATACTGGAAAAGAAAATGGAAACTACTATATTATACTACGGTATATATATATATATGGGTTATAGTCCCCCTTGAGTAGATAGAATATGGCTTTGGGTATATTAGAACCATATACCCCATATTCTATCTACTTAAGGGGGACTCTATGAAGAATTGCTCACGCTGCAAGGAGTTTCTACAAGCGTGCCGCTCTTAGCTGCTATCCTAGGTAAGTGACTACCATTCGGGAAGCTGAAAACCATTGCGCTCAAAGCTTTTCCAATTCAGTGTCCAGTTGAGGCCGTTGAGATTCTCTCAAGCTGCGCAAGGGCTGCTGCAACGTTTGGTGCAGAAAGAGGACAGTCACCTGGATAGTAAGCTGAGCCGTGTTAGTTTTCCATCGTTTTTTGTGCAGTCTGCGCCTGCAAAGTGTCAGAAGTCTGAGCGCATGTGCATTCTCCAATCTCCAATCTCAGGCATGTAAAGCTCTTGCATGCTCATTGTGCGAACTTATGCAGCAACAAGTGGATTGGCGATTTAACGACGGACCCTTAACAGTGCACGTAGGGGTCCCTCATGTAGTTTAGTATGGTGTCTAATATAGTCCCTAGCAGGGAAGCTAGGTCTATCAAACTATTTAGAACATATTCAATCACAGTTTCCATTTCATTTCCCATTTCCTTGCCCATTTGATTTTTCATTATAGTAGTGCACCCTAAGCCCTAAACCCCAAACCCTAAACCCTAGGCCCTAAGCCCTAAACCCTAAGCCCTAAGCCCCAAGCCCTAAGCCCTAAACCCTAAACCCAAAGCCCTGAACCTTAAGCCCTAAACCCCAAACCCTAAACACTATAAACACTAAACCCTCAGCCCTAAACCCTAAAACCTAATTCCTGAGCCCTAAATCCTAAACCCTGAATCCTAGACCCTAAACCCTAAGCCCTAAGTCCTGAGGTTGCTTGAAGTTCACCTTAGCTTCGC